GAGCCTTTTACTAAATAACTTAAATATGATTTCAAAATAACAAATATTATTTGAGGATACAATAAAACTTGTTTCATTTAAAAACTATTTAATATTTTATAATCAGAATTGCGAATTTTTTTATAAGAACTTTATTATTCGATTACATATTATTTTACCTATCATATCTTATATTTTTTTGTCTATATGTTTTTTTTTGCTCTTGAGTCTTGTATAAAATTCTGTTTAACTTTTTTCATAATTATCTTAAAAAACTTGTTTGCTCATTTCCATAATTGTTGTTAATTTTTGTGCAATTGAAAATAAAATTTCCAATTTATTAATGTGAAAGATTGTTTTAACGCGCCTTTAAAATTTTATATTCGGCAATTTTCTCATTCATAATCATATAAGTATATGATGATTTAACTTAAACCTTAAATACTTTTTGAAAACCCGGGACAAGAAATTTAAACTCGGGACAAATTTTGATTTTAGAAAAGCCCGGGACAAAATGTGGAAATCCGGGACATTCCCGGTCAAACCGGCACGTATGGTCACCTTAATAAAAACCTCAAGTTCAGATCGCTGTTCAATGATAATAATAAATATATGTTGCTGCATTGTTATTAGTCATAATCTATTGATATTGACTATAAACGCTATGTAATCACTACATTATTAAGACCAATGCCAATAGAAGATTTTCGATCAATTGAGTACCTACATATACAAACTAATATTATCATTATGACCAAAGCAGAAAATGAAATTGGAAGAGCAAAAATTTCTTATACAAATATCACCATGATACCCCAAAAGTAGAAAAGCATACTTGCAGTGGCAACAACAGCACGCCGTCAAACATCGTCTGAATCTCTTGCAGCAGGTGTATGCGCAGAGGTGGCAGCCGCAGCAGTTGCGTTCGCAGCAGGCGCACGTGCAGTTCAAGCAGTACAGCTCATCATCATCGCAACAACTGTATTCGCACCGGCAACTGCATATACCAGGAGTGCATTCGTCATGAGTCTTGTGCCGCACACAGCAACATCGAGTTTTGTCGTAAAGATAGGAGCCGTGGTACGAGTTGCATCTGCTGCAGTAATGGCGAGTGTTGTAGCAGAGCTTTGTGCAATAAGGGATCCACGAGCATATTGCGCATCTATAAAAAAACACTTTATTAGTAGATGTATGTACATTTGGAATATCATCTCAAATCCTTGATATTGATTGATTTGGTTACCATTGAAGTTAAAATTTGTTACATTCGATAGAAACAGATGATCAAATTTATGACCGTAAGATATACACGAGTAACTTGTGCTAAAACTACTTACACTTATGCAGTTCCTATACGAATCTTCAATAATAAAAATAATAATATATCCTATAAATATAAAAACTATGTTAAATCTATAAAGCAAAAACTTCATATAAAGATATCTCAAAGTTACTACTTACTTTCTTTGTGAACCTTTATATGAGAATTTTTATGAATCAAATAACATTTTGAAGCAAAATATGTACTTATAGATTCTATCACTTGAAAATAGTCCCTGTGTTTTGATATGTGTATATAGAAGTTTTTAAGTTAATTTTGGTATACTTACAGACGTGATTTACTTAGTCTATGGAATGAATATTGTGTAGGACAAAAGGTAAGACAAAGCTTTCAAAATACTTAATACGATCGAGTAAATCGTGAAATATATTACTAAAATAACGTAGATTCATATTTTATTGCTTGTGGCACGAACTGTAATAATGCCCTAGTTCTTTCAAATTGATTAAATATAACAACAAAAATATTAACTCGGTTTCGATAATTACATGTCACAATATAATTATATCATTTAGTTACTTTTAGTTAATTCAATAATCCTAGCACTCAATTTTAGAAAACAAAACTCAATTTTAATGATTAAGTATAAATGGTAAACATAACTTATGAAATATTTAATATGAAAGCCGTTGAGTTTGAAGTCTATTTTCCAAAAATTTCGAATTGTCGGTCTCACCCGAACCAGCACATAAGATTGGCACAACAATGAGTGGTGGATGATGGAACTGGTTTCACCACAGTATGAGTTCTATGTTCGCAATATGGGCAATACATTATTTGAGATTTTTCTCCAAATTCTTGTTCTTTTTCCTCTCCGTCGCACGATTGACAGCACCCCATTTGAACAAACGACCATCACAAATCACTTTACAAGTTTAAAAATTGTACTTTCTATAAAAACTTATAAAAAAATACACAGTACATTGTCGGAAAGTGTATTAAGAGTAAAAAAATCAAATGTCACGGTACTAAAATAATGCAAAATACTCAAACAAATGACAGGAATATGATTGGCTATGTGTTCTGATTATACTATTGAGCAATGTTTAATCAGATCACATATGGGCTGAATGAAATGTGATTTGATATGCAACGATAGTTGTCGATTTTCAAATGATACAGTGGTCAGTATTGTTGTCCATGAAATCGATTTGATTTTTGATGGCATGATCAAGGAGTGATCTAATAATTCAGGAGATGTTTGATGGTATGATGAGATATCGAGGATGTAGTACAAATCTACTCGAAAGCGCTTACTACTTACCTTTTGCGATGTCGTTTGTACATCGCCGATATGAGCTAGTGATCGTCTCGAAACTGATCAGAGAATGCAAAATATGATTGAGCTAGGTAAAATTGCGAACTTACCGCAAAAACGCTCAATACTTCCATAATAGTTTTGTACCAACCTCCGGTATCTCTGATTGCAAATGCGCGCGCAATATCCGTTTAAACGGCAGCAAATAGACCTTAAGGTCACGACAGTCTTTTAATAACACAAACGATGGTGTATTGTACTATAGGTCGGGATTTGCATAATAATTATGCGAAAAGCATTATACGGTAAAATATTTGCCTTCGCGTTGCATACATCTTACAGCGCAAGGATAACAAACAGCAAGGGGCGCATAACTGTATCTTAAATTCAAATCATAATTTCAATATATATTTGATTATTCATATCTATTTTTTTTGTTTGTTTTGTGTTTCTGTAAGAATAAATTCTATTTCATTAACATTTTTACATTTACCGACTTCCAGTTGGTTATCCTTGCATTTCAGCGACCTTAAAACTAATAATTAGGAATCTGATGTTGAGCAGTAAGTTTGCGCGCACGTTATTTCTGCTATTCAAATCTTATCTAATTTCTTTTCATTCACATTTATTAATAGTATATTGCAGTACTTGTTTTCCTATCATTCATTTTTGTATTCATCTAGTTAGTACAATATTATGCTCTGTAAATATCAAGAACATCCAAAAACCGATTTCGATTAAAAATGCTTTACTAAACTTGAACATCTCGCGTTTAGTACATCTTTGAGGTACTAGCTTTAGGAACATTATTAGCAGAAAAAAACTAATTAAATTTTTTTTTTAAATTGACAGTTAGATGTTTTTTATAAATAATTTTGTCTCATCTAGAAACAAATATTCAAGCAAAATATTATAATTGAAGATCTTCAATTAATAATAATAATCGCACACCTAGTAAATAGTTCAAACTATAATTACTATTTGTGCTGCAAAGAAAATTTATTTCATTCTTTACTATAACGTAGATTAAAAACAATGTTTTTTATGTAGTTGTACAAAAAAAATCTAATATTATACCAAAATAGAAACTAGTGGTGTATGACATCGTGCCTTAAGGCAAATTGCTTAAACTTCCCGTTCCATAACGAAATTTTCGAGGAATATTAAATGTTTTCAAACAGATTATTAAAAATACTGTAACATTGTCTAATATTTATAAAAACTATATAAACTGAATTACAAAGTTAAAATTATTTATTTAAAACAAATAAGTGAGCTTTAGAAATTTAACCAGAATTAAAATTAAAATCTGAATTAATTTCGATATACAAAAAAAAAGGTTTTTGAAAAAAAATTAAAATTTTAAGTATTTTTTTATCCAAAAATTGTTTTGTCAAAATAAGTCAAAAGTTTTTGAATTATCCAAATCGGATACTTAGTTCTCTCTAAAACTGCCGTTTTTTGTACATTTGTTCTGTATTTTCGTATATGAATCTGCCTTTTCCAACAACTAACCACTACTGTACTCAATCATTACAAATTGAATGTTTTTTGGACCATTACTATAACTTACCCTATGGGAAGTTAATTATATAGTGAAACTCTTAATCAGGCATACATTTTCCTGAAACAATAAATAAAAGACAAAATACAATTCATAGATTGCATTTAGAATATTTTACATTATTAAAGATATTATATATAATCATATAAAATAGGTCAGTTTTTCATGACATATTTTCTTCAATTGCAAGACACAAGCTTCTTTTAAGGAAAGTGTGAAGCCTTGTTGTCAGCCATTTACTCAAGCTTTGGCATAGTTAATTTTAAGATTCGAGTAACAATAGATGAAGCACACACAAAATATTATTGCATTTTGTTGCTTTTGTGTGGCAACTTAATTTATTACAAGTATAAAATCAATCTATAATTACCAACTTACAAATAAATATTGTTTACTTAAATATTAAATAGAATAAGATATTTTATAAATTAAATATTTAAAAAAATAAAAATTTAAGTGAAATTTTTCATTAACATATTATAAAAATATATCTCAATACAAAACTAGTTTATTCCTTAAATTTAGACTCGAGAGTTACAATATATATTAATATTTATGTAACTTATTAATACAAGGTGGGATATTATGGCTGATATAAATGCATGCGCAAAAATTTTATCTGGCCCGTAAATAGATTCTTTCCACTCATAATACTTTTGATATATACTATATGTATATAAATAAAAATAAATATATATACTTCCTAATAAAAAAAATTAATTTCAATTGGCAATTATAAGGAATTAATTAATTTATTTTAAATTTTCTAAAAGAAATATGTTGAACTTTATTAAAACAATATTAATCAATAATAATTTCGTAGCATCTATAAAATTTTAAATCTATAAAAGTGTCCTCCAGCAACATAAAATTTTATATCTAAATTTAATGCTTTACTGCCAATTCACTTAACACCTTGAAGACCGCATTGTGCTTTTCTCGTGGGGAAAATGATCTATTCCAGATAACACAAATTGTGTGTCCACCGGAGGCCATGTGTTCCATTCATTTTAGTACGTTGTGTACCACGAATGGACATGCCGTCTTCTGCGTGTTAATTATTCCACATAAGTGGTCTGTTTTGACTTAGATATTATTCATTTTAAGACAGGATATATATATATATATATATATATATATATATATATATATATTAGGGTGGTCCTTAAAATGGCCATTTTCGAATTTCCTTGCTCCCAGGGGCTCAAATGGTTCCAAATTGATAAAAAACAATTCTCTGAAAGTTTTAGCTCTTAATATTAAGGTTTAGATAGAGCGCAATTCAATCAAACTTCGTATGGAAAGAGCATGGAAAAAATTTTGAAAATTTAAAAAAAATGCTTTAGGTATAACTTAGCGACAAATGAATGAGTTTTAATCATTCAATTGTGCGCTAAATTACATCTAAAAAACATTTTTAAAATTTTTGAAAAATTTTCCATGCTATTTCCATACAAAACTTTGATTGAATTGCGCTCTATCTAAACGTTCATATTAAGAGCTAAAACTTTCAGAGAATTGTTTTCTATCTATTTGGAACCATTTGAGACCCTGGGAGCAAGGTAATTCGAAAATGAACATTTTAAGGACCACCTTAATATATATATATATATATATATATATAATTGATTGAAAAATTCATTCATCAAACAACTAACATGGACTAACATTTGCTCGATGTGCTTTTTCCATTTCTAATTGTTTAATTCTGGCATATGCCATTGAACCTCCTAATACCACAAAATTTGACAACCACCATAAAAATGCTTTTGGTTCTGAGAACCATTGACTTGCTAATATTGTTTGTGCACATGCTTTTGCAGTTCCTGAAATGTTATGTGTTAAGGGTGATGTCACCTGAAATTAAGTAATTAACAGGTTGTATTTTTATAATTAACAATGAAAGCTTTCTCATTCTAGAAAGATCATAGTAATTTCTTTAGTATAAAAGAGTAACATATTAGTTCATGATGTATAATTTTATCTATAGAACATTGAAATATTATTTCATGATATGAACTTATTACCTTAATTTGCAATGCTGTTACAAAACCAATTGAGAAACCACAAATGCCTCCTATTATCATAACAGACCAAAACCATGAGCTTGCCAGCAAAGGATATGATGCAACAATTCTATGTTCTCCAGACATCACTATTAGTGGCAAAAATAGTATACACGAATAAACATTGTTGTAGTATGATAATAACCAAATCTCTTGGTTAACATGTGGTAGTGTACGTTTAGTGTAAATTGAATAAAGACATAAGCTAAGTGACCCAAGTACTCCAAATATTGTACCAATAATGGATAATGAACCTGAAAGAGGTAAAAACACTGAATATTTTGAAATGCAAAGAAAAAAATAGTATGTTGAAATAATTTCTTTAACCTGCCACTTGTTCTTGATCAACACCAAGCCAAAATCCTCCCACTATAATACCACAACATAGTATACACCGAAAAGATGTTTTTTGTTGCAAAAGTGTATACGATAATATTACATTAAAAACTGTAGTTAGTGATCGTCCAATGTAATAAAATGACACATGAACGTATTTCAAACAAAGATTGTTTGTACTTATCATGGCAGTGAAGAGTATGGATAGTGGTAACACCTAGAAGAAATTGAAAATGCTATGTTATTAAATTCTTGGCTCATTCTGTAATAAACATATAACTGATTGATAACTGTGAAAAATAAAAACTTTAAAAATGTACATGTTCATAAGCCACATCAAGCTGTAGTTGATAGAATCAATGATCAAAATCATACATTCCTGTGCAGCAAGGAATGTAGAATTTATCATTGTAATGAATTTTATTTTAAAGTTGAACTAATTACCACAAGCATTTATGTGTAATTTACAACGATTTACCGAAATCTATTTGCCTATTATAAAAAAAACTACAAGATAACATGTTTAAGAGGAAAGTTTCTCTTCAGTATTTTTCTGATGTTTATAATATTATCAATTCTTTCACTAGATACAAATGATCTTTACATGTTTAGCAACTTGTATGCTCCATGGATTTCCTTTGGGAAATGATATTTTCTGTGGAAACGCCTTTGATAGATTACTTGCTGTATAACATATACCCGCTGACACAAGACATTGAAACCATGTAATAAACAAAGGAGCATCTAAATTTACTTCTTGACTGGATAACAAAATTTTATTTATAAAAACCGTACAAATTGAAATGACCCTGAAAAAAATTATGATAGTTTTATTAAGATTATTTAAAAAAATTGTTCAGAAAATGACTATTACCAATAAGCACAAACAACTACTAATATTTTAGCATATTTATTCAGTAATGTTTCTTCCTGCATTTTGTTATGTCTGTTAACACAATTTTTTACAGAACTTAAATTACGTAATGAGATTAAATAAATATTTTGGACGTATCATTTTTTAATAATTATACACGTCGCACATTTGTGTTTTGACAGCGCTGAGTAATCATTTTAAAGTCCCGCGTAAGAGTGACAAGCAGAATGACCAACAAAAATCAGATGATAATTATTACGTTGTGTTGGCGCCTCTGCGAATACTGCGAAGCACATGGCACGTTATTAATTGTCACATTTTGGGTTATGTTTTGGAAGCGTTAGGTAAAACTGAAATAGAACGTTGTTTGTGATAAAAATGGGCAAAATTAAAACTGAATCTCATGATGTTTCGTTGGCCGATGTGACAATTAAAGAGGAAGAATTATCGTATGAAGACAAATTAAAGAACGTCAGTGTCATAGCACAACCTATGGCTCCTAAAAAACTTACAAAAAAATGCTATAAACTAATTAAGAAAGGTATGTTTTGTTATTCAAAATAATTTATGATTATATATATATATATATATTTGTTTTTTTTGTAAGATGTATGTTTGGGACGTTTCCCAAATTTTCTTTCAATTTGAACAAATATCCTGAATTTATGTTATATATTCCCTAATATAAGCATATTCCTGAAGTCATAATGTTTTCTTTTGTTTAAATGAGATTTTGATCATGAAGTAAGGAGTATGTTTATTATCTTCCTTTTTTGTCAAATTTGGATTCTTTAGTTCAGATATCTGAACATTTGAAATCTTGAAAATTTATGCTCTAATCGCAACGCAGTGTCTAAACAATGAACCAGAAACTTATTAATAAGTGCACTTTGAAAATTAATATAACCAATGAATCTTATGTGGTAGTTAACGTTTCAAATAACTGTTCCAATAAGTATAAATTGCATTTCTAGCTTCTAAACAAAAAACGTTTTTGCGAGCTGGTTTAAAAGATGTTCAGTCACGAATTCGCAAGGGAGAGACAGGGTAAGTTTATAACAAAATTAAGTTCTTTATAACACAACATTGCCTATTTCTACTTTTACATAATTTTATTATAGCATTGTTATTTTTGCTGGAGATGTCACACCTGTTGAAATAATGTGCCATTTGCCAGGTGTATGTGAAGAGAAAGATATTCCCTATACGTATACACCAAGCCGATTAGATCTTGGATCTGCTATGGGTGTGAAAAGAGGTTCTCTCATGGTTCTTGTACGAGAACATCCAGATTATAAAGAATTATATGACGAATGCAAGGAAGAAATTAATACGTTAGCAATACCTTTTTAACAAAATAGTAGTTATTGTTATGAAATTTTTTATGGAATATAATTATGATTGTATTATCAAATAAGACTAAGTATAAAAAATCATTAGAAGAATGTTAGCAATACCTTTTTAATAGTATAGTAGTTTTTTTTATGAAAATGTTTATGGAACTTAATTATGGTTGTATATTTGTCTAAATGAAGCATTTGATTATATAGAAAGGTATGAAGTATTTTTATAATTTGAGATGTGTTCAATATAGTAAATTACATTTGAAGATAATGTAATAATGTGGAATACATTTTGGGCATATGAATGAATAAATTTGGCATTTGATTTCTTATAAAATTATATTTTACTAGCTTTACTCATTTACATTTTGCTGTTTTTACTTTCAATTAAAAATTTGAACAAAAATGACCTTATTGTTACATCTGGTCTATCAGTCAACCAATTTACCAGTCCACCATTTACCTGTTCACCAGTGCACCTGTCAACTTGTTTATCAGTCTACCAATATATCTGTTCAACAATTTACCTTACCATTGGTTTACCTGTTCAGTAATTTACTTATCAACATGTTTATCAATCCACCATTTTACCTGGTTACCAATTTATGTTATCCCGTTCTACATGCCCAATTAAGGTGTCTAACTGTTTTGTCGTCTATCTATCTGTCTACCATTTTATATATCTTGTAATTTAATTGTACACTTGTTGATCTATATACTAGTTTACCTGTCTACCTGTTCTTCCATTTATGTATGTATCTGTCTACCTGTTTAACTATTCATCTGTTTACCAGTCTGCTGGTCTACCAATTACTAAACTACTATAATAATTCTTACAAAATAGGGGTTTGTGGTAGGAGTTTGAAAATTTAGGGTTATATGTGTATTTTTATATATGCATTATAAAAATAAACAAGAAGAATTGACCAAAAACGATTGACAAAATCTTTAGGGCAACCAACTCTTACCACTTGGTTTCAATATATATATATATATATATATATATATATATATATATATATATATATATATTAACAAAGTCTAGTAATCGGGCATAACATCAATAAAAACATGAATTTCTTTCAAAAATTTATTTTAAATCCATACGTTTTGGCTATAATCCTAGCCTTCATTCATTGGAAAAATTAGTTAATCTTAGTGTTAAATAGGAAAATTTTAATAATCCATAGTATCAGGATATGGTAATGCACTACACTACGTATTATAAACATTAAACTTGTAATTACACAATATTTTCACAAAATACTAATTTAAAAAATAACAATTGGATAATGTGTTGTTCGTAAACTGGTTTAAGATATAATGTTATATCTTCAAGATATAATATTACATCTTCAACCAGTCTATGAACAACACATTATCCAATTGTGATTTTTTAAATTAGTATTTTGTGAAAATATTGTGTAATTACAAGTTTAATTGTGATTTTTCTGGTGTTCTGGGTGTTGCTGAATAATGACACGCATCTGGTGTCGAAACGTATAAATAAAAGTTCTTACTTTTTTATTTCGACGAACGGGCTGCAAGTTACTTTGAAATATAAATAATAATAATAATAAATGGTAGTCTGCCCGAAGGCAGGTCCATGGTGTGAGAGCCACCACAACAAATGATTTCCTTGCCCTTCATCCCAATACCACTATTCCCATTTTTTTATTTCATGTATTTTCCTTTCCAAACTTTTGTTTCCATGCTCCTTGATCATGTGCTCGCGTAAGTCGTCAATCGTCTGCATTCTTCTTCTCATTCGTTTTGTTTCTTCTATTTTACCCTCGAAGACGTCGTTCCTCGTTTTGCAAAAGAGGTCCGATCCAGTTTCCTTTCCTTCTCAGAATTGTGCTCAGTAGAGTTCTTTCTTTGCCCACTCTTCTCAGGACTTCTTCATTTTTTACTTTGTCTGTCCACTTTATCTTTTCCATTCACCTCCAGCACCACATTTCAAAACTCTCGAGGTAGATTTTATCGGCCTTTCTCAGAGTCCATGTCTCCGATCCGTACAGAGCTATGCTCCAGACGTAGCACTTTATTAGTCTCTTCCGTAAGTCAAGACTCGTCAGTAGCGTTCTCTTCTTTGTGAATGCTGCCTTGGCGCTCGCGATCCTTGTCCTGATGTCTTCGTGCAGTATCCGTCTCTGGTTAGTATGCTACCCAGGTATATGAAGTGATCCACGTCTTCCAATTCTCGATTTTCTTTGAACTTTGAAATATATATATATATATATATATATATATATATATATTACATAATTATATTATAACACACACACATATATATATATATATATATATATATATATATATATATGTTTCATTATGATATAACTTTTTCCTAAATAATTGTATCGGATTTTGATGCAGAAACATTAATTTTTTGCAACAAATCATGCTTTACTGATTTGTAAATAAAATGAATAAAATTTTTGAATTCTAGTTAGTATTGAAATCATAGCATTGTAGCATTCTGAATGATTTTATTCTTTTATGATAAAAATACAAAATATAATACAATTTATAATTGTAGCTTATTGTATTTCTAATGAAGTCTTAACTATGCCATAATTTTTAAAGTGCATTATGTAGTCCTAATTGTAATTTAATATAAATATAAACTTTATTTAGCAGTAAATTTAATTAAGAAAGTGCATACCAACTTTCATAATGAATTTAATTTTTTTTTTTTACTGAAATATACTCTACTCTAAATTAATAATTGTGGTATGTACTTTCCTAATATTTAACGTGTGACTTTAATCCACGTCTTGCATGGGAAGTGCATTTTGATGCAATTGATAAATAAATATTTATGCTTGACTATTAAATACAATTTAAATATTTTGTAATATACAAAGCAAGATGCACCAAGTTTTGCTTATAGAACAAAACTAATATGAATGAGCACTTCTTATTGTTAAATACTACAAAAAATATTGAATTCATTGACATATTTTTTGATAAGGCAGAAAACTATTATATTTATCAATTATACCATTTGGTTAAAATTCAACACCACGTGGGAGCAGCATAATTTATCATAAATAAATTCGCCACTACTTTGTTTTAAAAAATCCAAAAAAAAATTATGCTAGTGAAAAAACCAGCAATTTATAAAGCTGCTTAGTTCTTCAAAGATTGCAGCATTAAATATTTTCATTGTTGTCAAAACTACAGGTCACAATTTTTGCTACGTTTTGCACAATAATTATGTTTTGTATAAAATATTTTAACAAATATTTCTAAATATAGCAGTGGCTATATTTAGAGTTAGTTTAGTGGTAAATAGAGTTATAATTTTGTTTAAAATTTCTGTGACTTCTGAAATTTGATCATCTCAAGCTGTTATTCCGCATTTAATAAGAATAACTTAATACTGTTTTAATATTGACTGCATTATACTACAAGATTTTATTATCTTTCGTGATCCGATTATATATCTTTTGCTGTAACAAATAAGCTTTTGCATGCAATGGAAATAAGCTTAAAATATGATCTTCGATTTGTTAAGCTTCATAATTTATGCTTTCTAATTTTTGTTGAACTTTTATTTGTTACAAAATTTGCGACTAGCAGTTTTGCTCCATTTATTCTTCATAATGGAATGATGTTCAAATATTTTTAAACTACTTCTTGGCGAAAATCCAAAACAGAAATTTAATAACTTTTGTATTTCTAGAAAATACGATTATATTTATGCTTGACTATTATTATCAAAATTGTTGTGATATATTCGTGACTTCTTACATTGCTTGACTTTGAGGTATATAAAATATGATAAATTTTCAAATTGAAATTAAATTTATGAATATTTAATACTGTAAGGATCCACATTGACTTTGTCTATGATTGAAGTCTTATTTGGTAATTCTAAGAAAGAAAATAGACTGATGTTTCTTATGTAAATGTGTCTCTGTGTAAAGAATACGTTTGAGAAATAATTGCTATTAAATGAAAAAACTGTTATGAAGTATTCAGTTAAAGTTCATTGTCTCAGCAGATAAATGCAAACGGCACACACTAAAATAATTTCAGATTAGGCATTTGAGAATATATGTACACAAAATGCATAGCTAGTAACATACAAAACCTATTAATTACTTTCAACTTTAGTGCTCACAAATGTGTTTTAGTTTCTAGCTAAGTTTTTAACATTATTACAAGATTATTTGATGTCAGTTTTAACATATTTTTTAGTAGGTATGCTCTGCTGCTGTGGGAAATGAAAACTATAAGCATATATTTTAGTGTGTGCAGTTATTATGTAAAAGTATATAAAATAATTGATTGATTTAAATTTCTATAGATAATTGAGATATTATTTGTGTGCATATATTATATGCATAGTGGATTTTTTCCAATATTGTGATTATATTATACTTATATATAAACTTAATGCTATTTCTTTTTCAGTAGCTTTTCATGTGTAAGTTTGGAACACGATAAGAATGGTCAAAATGGTGCAGATGAAAATGATGAGCACTGGAAGAATCACAACAAATCGAAGAGATCTAAAATAGAGGTAAGGTTATTAATACAAAGAGTATTGCCTAAAGTTTATTTATTTGTGTATATATTTTAATCACATGATTATCAAATTGTAAAATAGTTATTGATTGATTTTGCAATTTGGTAATCATGTGACCATAATTTATTTCATTCAGACTTTTTTTTAATTAAACAACTTGTTTCAATTTGTATTTTTTCTGGTTTGATTTTGCTACTTTGCTGAATTTTAAAACATACAATATACATAGTTAAATTATTTCTTGCTTTTTATTTCGACTATGTTTCAACTTTGAAGAAAAAAATCAAAGTACCTTTTATATACAAATGAAATATAAACCTCAAATATTCAATCATTTTAAAGTTTATATACCGCTCAAATAATACATCTGATGGGTTAATAAAATTTTCACAATTTTAGTCAAAGTCAATAACATTAGATTAAAGAATACTTTTAGCACAGAAAGATGTTCAGATTATAAAGCTTCTACTATATTTCCATAATGTTTGATTAAATAGTTATTAAATATTTTATCCATTACCTCCAATGCTCACTGTATTGTTGTCAAAGTGTTATGTCTTCAAGTTGATTTACTGAATTCGCATTACTTTGGAACAAATTAGTAGAAACGTCGATGTTTGTTTCTGCTGGTTCCTTAGATGAGCTGCGCGATTTTCCTAGACATGAAAAAACTTTAAAATTATCATTAGAAACTGTTCTTTTCTGTTCTTTTTATTTCTGTTAACATGTGTCTCACCTGATTTGAAACACAAACAGCCAGAGTCACTATTGGAATCCCTGAGTTTATTTTCTTTGCTATTTTCATTAGTACATCGTTGATAGTAATCATAGTCTTTCAAATACCTATGAAACACATATATGTCAACTATGCTATTGAAAACTACTAGAGTTCAATTCTGTTAATATTAGCCAGTTATATTAGTATACTGTTTAATGTCTATTCCGTTTGATATTCAATATCATTTCATATTAATAAAATTATATTCATATTATATTACAGTAGAAATTCGATTATCCGGACTAATTGTTGTCGGTAGGTATCCGGATTATCCAAATTATGAAGAATAATGTTTTGTTTATCAAAAATAACACATACAAAGATATCAACCAAAATCTATGTTTATTAGGAAATTAACACTAACATATTTTCTTAGATTGCATTACATATTATATTAATCATGAGGTAAAATATTCAGGTACGTAAAGTATCAATGAAGAAGAAAAGTTGCTTACAAATTTGTTACGAATAACTTGTTTAGAATTTGTATTTGATAATTTGCCTTTGGTTACCATAAAACAAGTTTAAATCGTTTTGAAATATTTTGTAATTGGGATCGTTCAAGTATTACGTAAGCAGATTTATTACAATTATTTACCCCCCCGCCTTACCCTTTGTCAGCAAAAGTAAGCAAAGTTCTTACCCAAAATAAGCAAAATAAGCAAATCAATAACCCCCCCGCCCCCTATAGTGCTTACGTAATACTTGAACGGCCCCATTGTCATTTCACGTAAACAACTTTTCCTTTTTATTGCTGCTATATCACGAATTCGTTTGAGTTGATTGTAGCAAGGATGTCACATTAGGAGGCAAAAATTTTACTTTAAACTTTTCAATTTCCCTCTCTAAATGTTCTGCTGAAGGATGGTTTGGCGCATTATCCAGTAAAAGTAGTACATATCCTTATTTGCCAATTTCGTTTTGTCTTCTTTTTACTTCGGGGATAAAAGTGTTGTCATACTAGTCAATAAATATTTTCGTCCATGCGCTTTTTTGATTTTTATAAATTAAGAATATCTTGATATTTTCAAAACATCTGGGTTTCTTTGATTTCCCTGTAAGGAGCAAAGGTATTTTGTGGGTCCCGGTAGCATTAGCGCAAACAAATATTGTTACTCGCTCTTTGCTTGTTTTATACCCTGGTAACGACTTTCAGTTTAAGCCGGTTTTATCAGCATTATAGATAAAATCCAAATTATAGTTGTTTTCATTCATTTTTTTTCTTGAAATTCTCTTTAAAAGAGTTTGCTGTATCTACATTGGCTGACATTTTTTCACCTTGTATTTCCAATTCGCGAATTCCATGACGTGATTTAAATCTGTGCAACCATCCACTACTTGCCACAAACGATTCATCGCCGCCTAATTTTTCATTTAACTGTAATGCCTTTCCACAGAGCAAAGGCCCAGATATCGGTTGCCCTGTTGATCGTTTTTGTAAAAACCAACAATATAGAGCTTCTTCTAAGAGTTAATTTTTTGGTCTCTTTATCATTTTCCGATTTTCACTCCCCTCTTCACTATCTAACTTGCAAGTGTACGACAAAGTTGAATCGGCATTCATTTTATTATAGTGGATGTACCTACACCATGCTTATCAGCTAACTTACGGCCGGTTTTGCCATTTTTTAATGATTCTATAATATTTATTATATCTTTAAGAAATAATACCTCCCTCTTACGCTTTGGCATGCGATTATATCCGGATAATCGCAAATCCGTATAACCGAGGTCCGGATAATCGAGGTTCTACTGTAATTGATTATAATATATATTTGAATAAGATATTAACTATGATCAAAAGCTTTGTTTTCTTCAGGTTTTATCAGTTTACCGAAAGCGTTAAAGAATACTTTACTTTTCAAATGTTTGCTATCAATTTTATACTAAATAATATTTATCAGAGTTAGTATTTAACTGGAATAACTTACCATACTGGTGGCCATCGATGCTCACGCAAATATTCCTGATTGTCAGGATGTAACAATCGAACACTTCTTGGTGACGCGCGACAAAGTTTGTTGTAATTCACGCAAAGATGGTTCATGCACCATTCTGCTAACTGGTGAGCATTATGCAACTGAAATATAAAAATTCTATTTATTAACTCGTTGAGCCCGACGTGGGTCGCCTAGTAAATCGACAGTAAAAAATGAAATTAGTTCTCATGAAATGCTATCAAATGTAATTTTAATTAAATTTATTGAAAAATTGTAAACAAGAATGTGCTATGTGGTAAACGTTGCCGACCGTTTGTCACTGCCGGCTGAACGGAAAAGACGGCAAACTTGGCGCCAGACCAGACAAATTTATCATATGAAAAATATTATAAAAATAATGATCTACTGGAATAATTTTTTTCTTCAAATTATACTATTATATGAATGAAATAAAAAATTAAATAAACTGTTTAGTGCAGTTTTATTTTAAAAACTAATATTGTAATTTAATATTTTTACCTTGACCGGTTCCAAAAGCCGAAGACAATGTTCAATAGATTCATTTCCTTCGTTTTGCGAAAGTCTTGATAAATCCTCGATCACACGAAATTCAATTAGGTTCAGGAAACGGGGAAGGCATAATCGATTTGCTAATTCTAATATATTTAAACATCTAGAAATTGTTTAAATTTTAGTTTAGTAATAATTTTTTATTTACGTATTTTACATGTCTAATGATATACCTTGCGGCAGAAATGGCTGGCACTTCGTCTGTATATAAATAACATAATAGCTTATGAAATGTATATTGTCGCACACCGGGAAAAACGATCTAAAATGAATAACAATGATAAAACAAAAATAAAATGTTATAAAAAGGCATTTGACGATAATTCAGATTTTTAAAATAATTTACCACTTTGGCTTGCGACTCCCTGAATTGGCCCGTCAGCATGGCCCTCATCATATCACAGCGAGATATTAGCATAGGCTTGTGACCAGGGTAGGTTCCATCATCCAGAGCGAAGCTGATATCAGAAAACAAACCTTGTTCGATGCACAACTCTTCAAGCCGGCGTCTCATTGACTGTGCAGAATTTTAAAATATAATTGAACTGCTCAATTTAAAAAAATGTTTAATTGCATTTGCTTTCTATATGAGACATAATTAATTATTCACTTCCGAAGGAGTAACTTATGTTTTCGCCAGAGTTTAGAGTTTTAAGTCCAAAAAAACGTGCGCGTGTGTGTAGATAAAATAAATTTGACTTTTCATCTATTTTTACTCAAAAACGGCACCGATTGCAAAAAGTTAAGTCATTCGATGAAACTCGCGTTGATTAGTTTTGATTGATCGGCCGAGCTGTTTCTTTAGAATTAAAAGTGCAAAATATTTCGTCCATGACTTTGTGAAAAATTTTGCCGAGTTGTTTCTTTAGAATTAAAAGAAAAGTACAAATGATGATTCTGTAAAAAATCATGTTCTAATTTTGAATATTTGAAAACCGTGCGAAAGATATTAGTTAGAAATCGTGCTGATTAGTTTTTTGGCAAACATCGGTCAGGCTGCTTCTCCGCAATTAACTTCCCGAAGGTGAAATTTATATTTTCGCCTAAAAGTCCGATTCGCTCATTTTATGTTTATTAGACGTTTGAAGTGAAGGTGAATCGAATGAATCGAAATTTGGAAAAATATGTGTGTGTGAGCCGATTTTTGACCTTTTCGTTTTCTCAAAAACGTCTGGATCGATTTGAAACATTTAAAAGCCATTTGATGAGGACGAGAATTTTTCTGTAATTAGCAAAAAAGTGTACAATTTTTCGTCCATGTTTTAGCCCGCAATCCTGAATCGATTTTAAAAATTAAAAACCGTTTGAACGATATAATATTCCTATAAATTTCATTATAAATGATAAACGTTTATAAAATTATTTTTCAATCTGTTAACAAAATCAAGAGTAGATATATATTACTCATATATTACTTAAGATGACCATTTTCATAAAATAGGTAAACAGTAACTTCATACCAATGAATAATGTTCGACAGCTTCTTCATTCGACTTGGTAAATTGCTGACCCGTTTGAGTATTTGATAAAACTACCAATAATTGTGTTAATTCTAAGAATTCTGCAGCCTGTCTTAATTCCTGAAAATTAGAAAATCATTAACCAAAAATGCGCTTTACAAATGACATTATTCGATTTTAGTTCCATTAATCATTTTAGCAAAGGTTTCACATTAATGCTCTTGATTATAATCATCACATACCAAAATCAATCCAATTGATGCAGACTGTTGAAAATACATTATTTATTCACAAACTTTAACTATTTCGGGCTATTAATGGAATGAAAAGATGATCTGTGAACCTCCGTGAGAAAATAATGGATAATAATAATTTCCTTATTTTGAGAATATAGTGAACGTGTTATTTGAACGCGATTATATATATATATATATATATATATATATATATATATATATATATATATATATATTGATTTTAACTATTTGACTATTAAGTTGCAATAGCTGTGAAAAAGACTTGAATCTCAGATGATATAATGTTTTTTCAATAAAATTTAATATTGATGAATTTTGATGATTATTAGCTATTTGGCATAAGAAATATTTTGAATAATAACAATTTTGTTGTCATTACAATATAACTTGTAAACGTGCCATATTGGTACAAAGTGCGATATTCAAATACAGTATTGTTGCACATTCCAGTATAATAGAACTACATTATACAGCGTTACTCCGTTAAGGCTAGTAGTAGATGCCTAGTAAATTAATTTTTTATTGACATTTTTTTTTATTAAACTCCTCCTATATATAACATTTCAGCAAATTTCAATTCAGATTTTTTTTTAGTTATCATCGTTCGTGCGCGGGGGTTGGTTTGTTGATAACAAAATTTAGCCATAATACTCGCATTGTACCATTGACAAGTTCGAAAGTTTGTTATGATGTGTGAAAAGTGCAAAATGTTGATGAAAATAGTTTTACTTCTTACTTGTAATTCGAGACATCTCTGATCAATACTGCCAGTGTAAATAAACCTCAAACATTGTTGCATTGCTTGCGGAGTAATTAGTTTACTGAGAGTCACTACTGTTTGATTGCTGGAAACGCTTGCTGATTCCTCAACCTAAACAATCTTAATATTTAAATATGCACAACTTTATATATCACATAACGGTTTACACAAACTACTAAGGGTGAAAACACATCAACGTCTATCTAAGTGAAATACAGTGTACAAAATTAAAATAAAATACGGAATATTATCCGTATCCTAAAGGTAAAATGTCGTAACTTCGAGTTTTGTAATATTTTACCAATTAAATTATTTAACGATTTACCTTCTGCTTCAGTAGAAAAATGGATAACTTGACAGTTAATAAAAAAATGTAAATTGCGATAGTTTACAGATAGAGAACATAATTGGCAATAAGGCTGCGGCAATATTGGCTCAGTGACTTGTTGGGTGAAATCGAAATAAACTTGTTTGCTAATTCTCCAATAACAAAATTATAATTACAACTACCTTAATAAAAAACCAATGGAATCATGCAGGATTTTAACGAAAAACGTTGTACCATCAAATATGAATAACAAATTATTATATTTAAAATGTACATACAGGATCTTTAGGCAATACAAACAATGTGAAGAGATCGACTGCAGAGGATGGCGTGGGTCAATGTGGTATATAAAGTAGAAATCGTGAATTGGCAACATCGCTGCTTACCTGTGTAATACGAATTGATTGAAAAACAGGATGATGCAACTCTCTACAGAAATCATTAGATTTTTTGTGTTCCGACGTTGACAATATTTGGCAACTACTTCTACGTTTCAACTGTTCCCAAACTCTAGAACAAAATCCGACAATGATAAATTAATTATTTCCATTGAAATATTAAATTAATGAAGGGCGAATGATAGGCGTGTAATCATGCCACATATTGCTTCATTGATGTCGGCTTCGGGGTGATGATTGCGATAAAACAAACATGAAGAAAACTATTCATCTAAGATGAAAACGAAGCATCGCATAACAGAAATCATAATCACTAATAATAATAAACACTATAAAAACAGCGCAACTAGATTTGTGTTCTACTATCAGCCATGAACTGTGCAAGTAAAACAAGTTCTATCACACGAACGTATTCAATCTCACCTAATTGATTTTTTTTGCTCTGTTCTTATAAGATATTCAGTATCTTCATTAAATTCCCCTGCAGTCGCCTCACCAAATGTACTACTGACCTGATAGAAGAGGCAAGTTACTGGTCAAAAGAGTGGTCAGGGATGTAGAGTTATTAAATTACAAGTTAATATGCTTAGCGTTATATGTTTGTTAACAAATTAGTATGTATGTTTTGTTAATGTTTTTTTTTATTTACCATGCTCGACTCGCTGCTACTTCTCGCTCCGATATCGGAAAACTCCATTGTTAGTAACCTGAAAATGTTGGAAAATGTATTACAATACAATAAAATTTAGCTTAAAGTCTTTGCATAATTTATAAATACAATACCTTTGTGAATTAAATTAATATTGCGATGGCATAACGAACTAGATGAATAAAAATTAATCATATTTTGATATCTGCGTGCCCTAATGGCATACTGAATTATATTAACCCCTTAACTTTCGACTTAGATTCGAAAATGTTGGGCCAAAGTTGTACAAGCTGGCGCAACGTAAAATAAAAATAATTTTGTGTTTTATAGCTTCGTAAAAATAAATATTTTGTAATACTTGCGATTACAGTACCGGGTCATGCCCGTAATATTTGCTTCAGGTTAAATTATCGCACGCGGGCTATGCCCGTAATATTTACATTTGGCCTAGCCATCGAATGCTGGCTCTGCTCTTCAATGTAAGTTGGGGTTAATGGTTTGTGAATGTTTGCTCTGTTAGAAGTCTTTTCTTTTTCAGAAAATTTCAACTGACTATAAAATGCTTATAAGCTTTATGAAAAAATAGGTACAGTGTTTGTACCTATCGAACTATTATCATGTAACTTTATTTCCGTACATGTTAACATTAAAAGAGTCGTAAATTCTTTTTCATTTACTTATTATTTGAGATTATCGTATTATTTTAAGTATTAAGCTAGTGCCAACCCTGCGGTATTTCAAAGTCATATTCCATTCCGCCTTCATTGTTCTATCACGTTGTTTTTGTATTTTTGTGCACGTGTTGCCCATAGTATTTTTTCGTCCATTGTAAAAAAATTGACAATTTGATCACTATCCATATACAATATTTCATTAAAATATATTTTTGTACGTACAGACGTTATTTTAAAAAACTTGGATATTAGTCGTACCAATAATACTATTTACTAATATTAGTCATTTGTACCCAATGTATGAAATGTTGGCAAATTCGTATAAAAAATTTATTTGCATTTGCGAATCATAAGACCAACGATCAACCGTATCAAAAGCGATTTATAAATCTTTCTGCATGTTTACTGTTGGTATATTCGTATCAAAAACTTATTTGCATATGAAAGTGATTTATAAATCTTTCTGCATATTAATAATGTCGATAGATTTGTATCAAAAATTTATGGAATGCATTTTAAAATCAGAAGACCAATGATCAACGATACGAAAAGTGATTAATCTTTCCTCATATTAAATTTTTGTTTTTATTTAATTTATTTTGCAATCTGATTTACATGAGCATTAACATTAATATCTCAATAATAATATATTACTATATAAACCAGAAGATAGTAGCAACACCCAGCGGCGTGTCTACTAGGTGTAAGGACTAATTATCTATACTCAAAGTATTTGCTAACATTTTTATTATTTATGTGCAACTATACCCACGAGAGGCGATTTTCACTTGAGGCTGTATTTGAGATCTATGGCCTCAAGTGGAAATTTGACATCAAAGTTGCCTGATATCAGGCTTGGCGGTAGCGGGAATCGAACCAGCGAACATGGGACTAGTTGGTGCTCTAACCGATATCGCCACCGCTGGCCCCCTCATATTAAATGTTCATATATTTGTATCAAAAACTTATGGAATGCATTTGAAAATCATAAGACAATGATCAACCATATCAAAAGCGATTGATAAATCTTTCTGGATATTAAAAGTTTGTATGTTCGTATCACAAACTTATGGAATACATTTGAGAAGCATAAGACGAATGATCAACAATATAAAAAAATGATTCACAAATCTTTCTGCATATTAAATGTTGGTTATTCGTACGTCTTGAGAATCATAAGATGATCCGCTATATCGAAAGCGATTGTTAAATTTTTCTGCATATTAAATGTTGACGTATTCGTACCATAAACTCATGGCATGCATGGCAACCATAAAATTAGCGATCAACTATATAAAAAGTGATTGATAAATCATTCCGCATGTGAAATGTTGGAATATTCATATTACAAACCTATGGAATGCATTTGAGCTAGCGGCTAATACAAATCTGTGCACCGGAAAGCCGACGCTTCCAGTGACCAGTACCATGTCGGTGTGCTGCTGCGACGACAACATGCTGGACATGTGCTCGGTGTAAGCACTCGCAGCTACAGTCACTTCGGGGGGCTGAGGTTTGGGCGGACAGAATGGGGCCTGTAAAAATACATCGGTAAAAATTATTATAAAAATAAATTTTATACACGGTAATAAAATTTAAAAACATTTCAGTCGCTGTGGTTAAATTATTTGTTTTGAGTAAGATAAACCTATTAATTAGTAAGATAAATGTATTAATTTAGCAGGTCATTTTTCAAATTACGTAAATGAAAATATTATCTTTATTTATAAATAAAAAATCAAATATTTTCTGTTGGTCGAAGCGTGATTATATATCTTTGTAACAGTAGATAATTGGATAGTTTCTACTGACCACGCAGGTTTTAAAATACTATAAGAAAACGTATATTTCAGAAATTTATATTTCGTTTCTCTATCGCTTTTAAAGGTTTATTAATCATTTGTTTGATTGATTTGATTGCAGATATAATTTTAGTTAATTTTCGACAACCAGTTAGTACGGTAGACTGGGTACAGTTGTGCAACACTTTTTTGATCAGCAATAATTTTATTAATTTACCACAATTTGAATATTTGTCTACATGAAAATACTGAAATACTGTCCTTAAAAACGACGAATTACTTATAAAATCAAATCATACAAGAAAACGGCGAGAAGCATAACCGTCTACACCCCCAGGGACGATTGCCACTACCATTCCTGGGGGTATAGGTCTTCAATGTAAACATTAAGATTATAATAATAATTTTTATTTAACGTGATTATATTGCAAAATATATAAATCATACTAAATGACTTCTATTTTATCTTAAAAATGATTTATCTAAAATGTGTCTATTTATCATTTTTCATTGGGAACGCAATATGAAATAGATAAAATGATTAAACAAGTATTTATCCAGTAAACACAAACGTCATTGATTTTTTTTAATAAGATAAATGCATTATCAGATCTTGTTCTACGTTAAGCTGAAATTGTTGTTTATTATGAGCTAGCAACATTGATTCAATGAGTTTTTTCTTTGCTCGGTTTAATTTCAATCATAACCTTGATGTAATTGATAAAGATAAAAATAAAAGAATAACGCTTCAATTATTCGTACTAAATGCTTTTAGTGATAAATCTTTTTTTTTTGAAAGAATATCTATATCTCTTTTTTTTGAAAGGATATCTGAAAAGATCTGATTTACACTTTAATCCTTTTCACTCGCAAATTTCGAGATTAATATGTGTTTTGCCGCCGGAGCAGTGGCGTCCGAGTGGAAAGGTGAATTAATTAATTTGTCGTAAAAATACATAGATTAAGGTTAAGATCGAATAGAATTTATAGAGCAATACTGCTATAATATATATATATATATATATATATATATATATATATATATATATATATATTAAATGATCATATCATCTAATTTATTTATTCACAAACATATACTAATTCAGAATAACTATTATTTTCACTTTTCACAAATCGTTCTTATCATCGCAGAAAAAGCAAACATGAAAAATATAATATTTCGAGGTATATCTTTGATTGAAATATCAACAAAAACTACGAATTATAATAATACCTGTAAAATGGGCCTCTGAACACGCTTGAGATTCGTAATCCAAAATCTTTGTTGTTTTCTAGCATACAAAGCAGCACGTATAGCATTTTCAAACACCTTAAATATTCAAAATACAATTTGAATGGATATATAATTATATATACAATCATATCACATTTTGCGAATTACCTCATTCACACCAAAATACGTAAAAACTGAAGTTTCATAGTAACTCACTCCCAAATCTCGTGCGACTGCTCTCGCCTCATCTGGCATCACCAAATCGCTCTTCCGAGTTGCTCTAGAGAAACGAAATAATTAAAACATAAAAATTGATAACGCATAAATTGAAAAACTATTTAAGAAAATTTTAATTTTATTCTAGAACACAATGAAATAAAGAGACGGAAAAATGCAAACTATTATTGATAACTATATGAGTATATTGAACACGATTTTGAAAACCAAACATAGAAATAGTATTTGAAGATGTATAAAGAACTAGTTTGCTTGCTGTGCGCGTTGCATTTTCATTAGGCAACAAGATTGAAGTTTAACCAGTTAACTGTGTTGCTCACATCGAACAGTGCACAGTTTTGCAAATCGCAGTTAACTTGTAAAAATAAACAATATTGTAAATGATTTCATATTCCGCGGAAGAAAATATAGAGTAGGGAATAATTAAGCAAGAGAAATGAATAAGAAAAGATTCCACACCCGGAATTTGTGGAAGAGCAAATCACTTATTCTAATTTTACAAAATTAAAACAAACAAACAATATTTTTGGAAAATATATCTTTGTTTATAACAATTCGCTTAAAATAATTTTATGATTAGTTAATTTTATTGTACTTTAATAATAACTACCTATAAACTCGCGTCATATTTCTATCTTGTTTTTCTATCTGAAATTAACATTTTGTCTTTCCTATTAAATTAATAATTAATAAAATATCAATTAATTACTATGTTTGCCAACTATGTGTGCAATTGTGCATATTACTGCACTAGATCAAATTAATTAAATAATAAATATTATTCACTCTTAACTAATTATAATAATTATGGATTTTATGAAATCGTAATAATTTTTATTTATTACTAAAATAAATATTATTTATTTGATTGTATGATGATATAGTATGTTATTATAATGTTAAATCCGTTATTCAAGTTGACGTGAAGCTTCACTATCTGAACACCAGTAAAATAGGTGACCGTTAGAAATACGAAAATAGGTGAAAATAGAAAATAGAATATAGGTTTTCCATTACTCACCGGACAAACGGGCTCCTATCCCGGAAATAAGATAGATAGGTCTCATCTCTGTACATGTACCGGAGATCGTTTTTGCAGCCTACCAGCAAAATTGGAGTCTGGGGACAAAATTTCCTTATTTCCTGGTACCACATAGACCGACAGTTCCTTAGTGATACCGGATTTGTTATTGAGAAACATAAAAGAACCACGTCCGATCTGTAACATATTAAATAAATGAGCAACTTTGTTAATCTCACGGGCTCAGTTAATGAATCTAAAGCTGCCCGACCACCGATTTTTAAAGAATTTATTATAAAACTTTGTTATAAAACTTGATCTTTAATTGAATGATTAGTTATCAGTTATAGCCAGAGGGGGTCGTTTCTCCGCAAGCAATATCAATAAATACCCATTTTACGTCTAAAACGTGTAAAGATCTAATTTTAGTGCTTTTTAATATAAATGCAAATTTATAGTTTTATAAATACATACTGTAAATAAAAGCTACAGGTTCTTTCTTTACATAGAGAATTAAACATAGACCTGATAGCACGAAAAAGTTTTTATCAGAAATATAAGTACTATTATTTTTAAATATGGTTGATTACTGTTAAATAATGTTAATTTCTAAAGGTCGATTTTGCTTTATTTATATATTATACGGTTCCTAAGTATTGCATAAAATTCTATTACCATATTCCATAATTAACCAATATGTATTTCATAGTTAACTTTCGTCAGAAATATCGCTTTTAGTTCAAAAGCAATTCATTAAGCTAATATTCTTTCCGTAGAAGTATTTTTGCAGGCAGGGAAAAAGTTTGCTATTATTTGTAAATTGGAAAATGGAAGTTCACGATTATTGAAGTAGGGAACTACTTTAACCCACCTGGAGATTGACGATTTTATAGCTTTTCATGTAATATTATGTATATATTTTCGTAAAATTAATGCTTGTTGAAATATATTTAAAATAAAAGCCATTCCAAATAAATCGGTAGAAATCTAGACATATGGTCTTTTTAAGTAAACGCAACAAATAACATAAATTTTTGTATTCATCTGCTATTTCAATTGTAATCTTATATATACAGTGGTCGACATACGAGTTATTTACTTTTTTATGGTACGAGTGATTTAAGATACGAGCCGCCGAAGAAGCGATTTGTTGCTTCGACATACGAGCAAGATTCGAAATACGAGCCTTGAACGAGTAAGAGTATTCTAGAAAAATGTTAATGGCACAAATAAAATACGAAAAATTTCGTCAGATGTAATAATGATTTTCCTACCATAGAAATATTTTGGTTGTTTTATGATAGTAAATTATTTTATAGTTAGTAATTTTAATTATATATTTACCCAATTCAATTAAAGATTTACCCACACGAATATATCGAGGACTCCTTTAACCATTGAAATTTTAACTATACATTAATAGTGAATGTACAGTTATAAATGTTGAGTTCGCATTTTTTGCTTTTTGTACATTTACAAAATATTATTTACTTTTATAACCATGCGTCTAAAGAAAAGGGCCATGCCTCTGAAAATGGAAAAATAAGATGATGGGAAATGATGTACCATTGTAACACATTATAGATACGTGCTGAGGTTAAACAGAAGTAATTTTTAAAGGATATAACTCGAGTTAAAAACTTTACAATAATTTATAAGCAACTTTCTAAGCTCTAAAAGATTGCGGATAAAAATCACCGAGAAAAAGATGCAATAGTTCTTCAACGAAATATGTCTAATTCATTTCGGCAATATTATGAATGATCAGAAAAAAAAAATTAATAAATATTAAATTTAATTTGAATATTCAAAGACCTTAACAAGAACCACATTGCTTTAACGAATTAATAGCATTTCAATGTATTTATATGGAAGAAATTGCTTCTAGATAGGAGCGATTCGACATACGAGCGTGAATATATACATATATATATATATATATATATATATATATATATATATATATATATTTTGTAGAGTTTCGAACAAGAATCCAAAAATAATACAAAATAAAAAACAAGAAAAGTTTTAAAAAAAACAATTTCTTTATTTAATTATTTGTTTATTGTCGACGTTTCGGAACTAGGTACGTTCCATCTTCAGGACATCTGTCAAGAAACATGATCTTGATGAGATTTTAGCAAACAATATGTTTAGGAAAAGAAAATAGATTTTTCTTAAATAATGAATTAATTGTAAAAAAAATATAATAATGTACAGAAATATAATATGTTCAAAATGAAACATATTACATTTCATTTTGAACATATTATCATATTTCTGTACATTATTATATTTTTTTTACAATTAATTCATTATTTAAGAAAAATCTATTTTCTTTTCCTAAACATATTGTTTGCTAAAATCTCATCAAGATCATGTTTCTTGACAGATGTCCTGAAGATGGAACGTACCTAGTTCCGAAACGTCGACAATAAACAAATAATTAAATAAAGAAATTGTTTTTTTTAAAAACTTTTCTTGTTTTTTATTTTGTATTATTTTTGGATTCTTGTTCGAAACTCTACAAAATATACACAAATCCAAGACTCTACCATTCAATATATATATATATATATATATATATATATATATATATATATATATTTGAATAGTCTTGAATTTGATGTTGATATATATGTTTGAGTTTAAATTCGGGCGTAACATCAATAAAAATAGTATGAGAGTTTTTTTAAAAGTTTATTTATTTAAAATCCATACGTTTCGGCTAGCATCTTAGCCATCATTCAGTGGTAATCAATTTAACTATAAAAACTGAAACTAAATAAATTATATGTAAGAAATTTCATGGAAAACAATAATAATAATAATAAAACACTTACAATTTTGGATATTATATTATTTACTACTACTATATTATACTACTACTATGATACTGTATTAGGATACAAAATTGTAAGTGTTTTATTATTATTATTATTGTTTTCCATGAAATTTCTTACATATAATTTATTTAGTTTCAATGTTTATAGTCCGAATTTAAACTCAAATTAAACATATATATATATATATATATATATATATATTAGGGTGGTCCTTAAAATGGTCATTTTCGAATTTCCTTGCTCCCAGGGGCTCAAATGTTTCCAAATAGATAAAAAACAATTCTCTGAAAGTTTTAGCTCTTAATATTAACGTTTAGATAGAGCGCAATTCAATCAAAGTTTGTATAGAAAGAGCATGGAAAAATTTTTGAAAATTAAAAAAAAATGTTTTAGGTATAACTTAGCGACAAATGAATGAGTTTTATTCATTCATTTGTTCGCTAAATTACATTTAAAAAACATTTTTAAAATTTTTGAAAAATTTTCCATGCTATTTCCATACAAAACTTTGATTGAATTGCGCTCTATCTAAACGTTAATATTAAGAGCTAAAATTTTCAGAGAATTGTTTTTTATCTATTTGGAACCATTTGAGCCCCTGGGAGCAAGGAAATTCGAAAATGACCATTTTAAGGGCCACCCTAATATATATATATATATATATATATATATATATATATATATATAATATGTTGATAGTTTTGTCGACGTTGATACATATTTGAAATATTTTGAAGCCAAATCTTCGAATTAAAAAATGGTACAAATAGAAAAATTCTTTATTCTATAAATGTATAAATAGTTTATATATACGAGTGTATGTATAAAAAAATCAAACACAGTCGTTTTGAGTATTTCAACGATAGCCATGTCAAACAGGCGATATGTTCTAATTTAATATAGAATTCATATGATTTGATGTTTGGTAATATTTACCTGCCGTAGGCAAACCGTCGGTCCTTCTCGTGGTCTCCGAATGTGTCCCATAGCCTCAGTGAGACGTTAACACTGTCCACGATCTCCCATGAGCGTTCGAGCACCTGCGTAATGATAAACACGACATGTGTATTAGTTCAATCGAACTGGCGTATGCCGACGATGTGCAATATTCGAATATTAGTTCTGTCAATAGACAATATTCATACACGTTCCGACGAATCTAATTATGTAAGCATTTAAGCACGTGCTAAGTAATAGAGCGTTCACGAATGCCATTTTGCCCGATTAGATGAGGACGTTACTTCCAGCAGCGAAAACGTATCGACTGTGGAACTTTCCGGATGGACTTGTTAGGGGAGGGTGGATATTGTCTTATCTTCAATTACAGTTGTAATACGTTTAGCGTTACTTATTCTGGGTCGCGTATACTTATTCATTTTGTTTCGATCAACCATTATATGCTCAAAATAATTTTCTCTAGATTTTGAATTAAAAATGTTAATAATTTATTTTATTCTAAAGGGGCCTCTATTAATCACGTGAAGTTTTCAGGGGGAGGGGGGGTTTGACAAAAAATCTCAAAATATCACGTGTGGGAGGGAGGGGTATAGTAAGATATCACGTGTATTTATTTTTTAACTAATTTTTTAAAAAAATTATACAGTTGTACAGTTTTTTCACGTAACTAAAACTACACGTGATGTTTGGTGGGGGAGAGGGGGTAATTTTGAATATCACCATGGATTACCATGGGGTCCAAAAATCCTTAAAAACTCGCTCACGTGATTAATGGACGACCCCTAATATAATGATATAATAATCGTAGAATACATATCTTCTATCTAATGAAATCTATTGAGTCTGCGACACATTATTTGAATATATTTGTCACAAAATGCAATGAGTTAACCAAATAAAACAAACTTTTTATTAATATTATTTATATTACCCTCAATGTTTATGACGAGACGAATGAATCAAGGAATCACTATTGAACGACTATCTGAAGAAAATAACGAACGAATTTTGTCGATCGTAAATGGACATGGAAATTCTTCAATCAACACTGTTAGCTAATATTACGATAAAATATTGTATGTATAATATACAGGGTGTCCCAGACATTGACGTCAAGCTGAAATAGAGTGATAGTATTGACCTTAACTGCACTGAAAAAAATTAGGACAAAAAATTATCTCAAGTTATTTAGAAATTATGAGATTTTAAGCGCAACCTAGAACTTTGGTACCAATGACCATTTTTCCTTTTTTTTGGTAATTTTTACTAATTTTGTTCATTCAAACTACAACCGTGAATAATATTTTTAGGACCACAGTCTAAAACAATACCACAATTGCCCCAAGTTTTGAAGAATTAAGACTTTTTGTTGAGCTGTGATGGGGATCACTATGTTTAATAAATTATTTAGTGGACTGTAAGTTAGAATTATCTCGTCATCATAAGAAAGTAAATTTTCTTTGCTTATATAATGCTATAATTTTCATGCTTCTTCCCTCATTTCTGTTGCTAGACCTTCTAAGTTATAATAATATACATGTATTTATATGCACAAATATTCATACCCTCTATCCCGAAGGGTTTCGGGTTAATCAGAAAAAGCCCTGGTCAAATCTTAACTAAATTATGAATTTAATTTTTTTAAATCAGTCGAATTCGAGAGGCTATTCTTTTTAAAAAATATTGTACTAAAGTGTGTTGATAAGTTTTATCAAAAGTTGGCGCATTTAATCAGAATTGTAATTTGATAAAATACTTTATAATTTTATAATTAAAACACTTTGAATAAAATAATAAAAACCTAAAAATGACATGCTTTCTGCCTTATCTGAATGCATCGAAGTTTTTTTGAGACTGAATAACAGAAGCTTAATATGTACTTTATATGAAATGTATAGTGTATTTTTTTGGCAAAATATTTGATGAAAATAAAAAATCAAAAATGTCAATAAAATTAATTGTGGTCAAAGACTCATACTTCAATTTTTATTCAGGCATTTTTAATTCGTTGGCGGTGTCATGCATTATTTTTTAATGCAAGCATTTTATTCATGTTGCAAAAATAAACTTATTTTTGTAAAAGATTGATAGTAAGTTAAACGTTTAACTTATAGTGTGGACCCATTAATAAAGTTGAATGATTTATGTATTTATGTTTGGTCTACGTGCGAAACAAGCCGCACCTTTTTCCTCTTCATCGGTATAGTTTGCGCGTCTGTCAGTTCGTCGACAGACTTTGTTTTTTATGCGTTGAATAAATTACGCCAAGAATAGCACTTTGTATTGCTTATTATAAACTGAAATTTTTTGCTAAATATTATTCTCGTTCGGTGAATATAATCAAACCGAAGTACATCAAGGCGAACCACGTTAAAAGATGTTATGAGAAACAACTATTTATAACTGCTATTTGTACAACAAAATTGCAAAAAATGTATTTTTCATGTTTACTTCTTTTCGCTAATTATGTCAGCTAATTTCTTATTCAAACCAACTAGTAAAATAATGATAACAAAGTTTAGCGCATAAAATGAATTATAGTAATCATTTTGATTTAGCAAGATTACGATTGCTACATTGTAGTTTTTTTATTATCAAAAATTGAATTACATTTCATTTTTTATAACATTTTCATTATATAAATTTAAATCTAAAAAATTATTTTACATTTGACATATTGTATCTCTGTAGCCATTTTAAATTATTGTAACTATATATTAACAATTTTACTTGAACGATCAGTGTTCAGTTTAATGAATTTTAATAAAAACTGTTGCAGCCAAATTTGTGATAATAAGGAACAAAACACTTATAATTACTATTATTGCTATTATCATTTTCACTCTTTTAATTAGCATTTATTAATTTATTTAATCATTTTTGTTATCCTTTTTCTCCTTTGTTTTGATTTTTAATACCCACTTTCGACTTGTATAATGTAATGTGATTGTTGAAACTAGCAGTGAATAAAGGACAAGAAACATAAAGTGGTAAAAATCTTGTATTTATTTATGTAGTTCAATGTTGACTATATGCAAGTAAATATGACAAAAAAGGTTTAGAAATTAATAGTTAATATGAGTTAATCAAAATTCAAACTAGTGGGTTGGGTGGCATCGTGCCTTAAGGCAAATTGCTGGAACTTCCCGTACCGTAACGAAATGTTCGAGGAATATTGAATGTTTTCAAATAGATTAATATAAATATTGTAACATTGCCTAATATTTATAAGAATTATATAAACTGAATTGCAGAGTTGAAATTATTTGTTCAAAGTAAATTAGAACTATCTGAATATTAATCTAATTAGTAGTATTAATAGATACTAAATCTGAATAATTTTCGATATACAAAAAATTAAAAAAAAAAAAAAATGAAACAAAAATTTTTTTTTCCAAAATCAATTATTTTGTTAAGACAAGCAGAAAGTTCTTTGAATCAATTTGTATCTTTATGTAAAAATCAATGTATGTATTTAAGACAAATAAAGCAAATTTTCAAATTATTAAATTTCTTTGAATCAATTGAATCGGACGCTTAGTTCTCTCAAAAACTGCCACTTTTTGTACATTTAGCTCTGTATCTCCGAAATGGCTGGGCCTGCCTTTGCGAAAAACTAATAACCCCTTCTCCCAATCATTACTAATTGAATGTTTTTTAGATCATTCAAATCGGATGCTCTGTTCTCTCAAAAACTCGATTTCTATTTTCTGCACTCTTTGCTCCTTATCTACGTAACTGCTGGACCTGCCTTTGCCAAAAACTAATCTCCTTATCAATAGGAATCGAATGTTTTTTAAACCATTCAAATCGGTTGATCCGATTGACGCCCGAAAACGTCGGCGAAAATTTGTATCCATACATACATACACACACACACACACACACATATCCATTTTTCTGCAGTATGCCAAAATGTTCAGAAACCTTCAAAACGTCGAGAAATGTAAAAATTTTCAATTCCGATTTTCGGCCCATTACAATAACTTACCCTACGGGAAGTTAAAAAATTATTGATTATAAATAGTTTGATTCATAGTATACAATTCCTAATTAAATACAAGCCAGCATACATTATCAGTTCTGAATTTCTCGAAAAAGAAGTTTGTTTTTGCGAGAAAATCTGATTTGCTAATTTTATGTTACCTCGACGCTTCAAGTCATTTTGTATCGAAGAGATCAAATTTTAAAACGTTTGCACTGATTTAAAAAATCCATAAGAACAATTGCTCGACAATCAATCAAGCTGTTTTTTTGTAATTAGCAGAAAAGTACAAAGTTTTTCGTCCACGTTTTAGCCAAAAATTCTGAATCAATTTTAAAAATTCAAAAACTGTTCGTAAGATATTGCTGATTAGTTTTTGGTGAAAATCGACCCGACGGTTTCTTCGTAATTAATTGCTAACAAATTTGTTTTTACTATTTTTATGAAACTTTTTTAACAATGGAGATCTCTTAAAACATACTAAAATATTATGGCCTTACGACGAGTCGTTTATTTTAATAATCCATTAAAGTTTGAAAAATTGAGTAGCGCTCCTTAGACGTGCGTCAAGAAGTCATATAAGCATTCTCGTTGTATTGGTTCTTTAGAATTAGCAGAAAGAGCAAAATATTTCGTAAACGCTTTCGTAACAAATTCTGAAATGATTTTGGAAGATATAATTTGGGAATCGTGCTGATTAGTTCTTAGGTCGTCTTCGTAATTGATGGTAATTTTTTTGCGATTTTAATGAAGCCTTGTTTGTGGATAGAGTGGATAGAGTTCATAAAGACAAATGGCTTAAATATAAAAATTAAATTAAGTATGCATTAATCGGCTGTGCATTAATAATACTCTGTACATGTTTTAGGTTTTAGGTTTTAGGTGCTCGTTTTTCAGTCATCCGTGAGATTTAAATCCTTCGAAAGTAACGAACATGTTTGGAAAATGTATATAATATTGAATAGCCCCTGCCCTAGTTTATCACATTACAATACTTCACACAAACTCGGTGTCGCTTATAAATCAATATATTGATTTCTTATTGATTAAGTCGCAAAGTTAATGCAACTTGCCTTAAGGCAAAATATCATTTACACCTATTTATATTGTATATTATTTTCTTTCAGACACAATTTTTCATCAACACATTTATCAAATATTTTCCTTCTGTATCCACATCGTTTGCCGATGTAAATAAAGGTCGCCGCACTCTCTAAACCTACGTTAGCTTATTACCATTTTAATTCCCTTTAATTTTATTGCTATTGATATAAGCAAACATTTATAAAGAACAACAACGATTTCCGCCAATGATTACAATAAATTTACATCGAGACTACTCGTTATTTAATATTTATGGGCAATGAATATTATCATTAAAATCTAATTATAGAGCTTTATTCGCTATTAGCATATGTCAACTAAATAGAACTTTTTGTTAATTTGAAAATCAATAAATTATGGCTGGAACTTCTATGTAAAACTTTAGAAGTATATTGATATGTAATTTACTGTGTTTTATATGCAAATATGTATAATTCCAATAAAATACAATGCTAAAGATTGTTAGAATGATTTGTCTGTGGATGTGCCATGATTTTCTTTTCAGTACTTGTAAAACAAATAAAATCAGAACTTAACACACTATCTAATTGACAAAGTTTAACAAAAAGTAATAAATCTTGCAACTTATTGAGCGTTAGATGTTTTCAATTTTTTTCCCGAGATGTTATGATGGTTTTTAAATAATTCGAGAATGCTAATTTCAAGAGAAGTAAAAAAACTTTACTAATAGCTCTAGTTTTTGAGTTATGAGAATGTGCTAGTTTTACCTCAAATTGCAATAATGTATAAAGTGAATTTAATTTTATTTTATACATTCAAAAGTTTTTTTATATTATTTTCGAGTGTGGACAAGTCCTGGCTGATCTAGTCGTAAGCCCAAACAATAGTCAGCCATCATGTGAACGTCTCATTTCCCTTAATACCCCTCATCCAAAGTCATGATGTCTTGATGGATAATCTTGCTTTACTCTTCGCTCTGAGAGTGCGAGTTATAAATTTTGATACTCATGTTGCATCCTAAATCTTTTTAAATGGGTAACATGCAATCGGCAAGTTTACTAAAGCTATTGAATTTTTTGTTTCCTAGAAAATTTGTTACGACCAATACGAATGACTCTCTGTTTTTTCTCGATTTTATCCAGAATTCGCGAAAAGTGGATTTTTTATGAGTTGCCTAATTTGGGGTTCATCAGTTTTCAATTCTCTCTATCTTCTCTTTTAACGTTTATCTCTCAATCTATTACATTATAAGCACAATATGCTGATGTTCTACGTTGTTCATCATTACCATGTGTAGGGCTTATATAAGTAGACCTCAAGACCATCGGAGTCGCGGGGTATGACGATCTGCTTCTATTGCCTGAATTTATTTCATTGATATTTACCATACAGAAGTAACAGTCGTCGTGGTTTATTCTAAATGACGGGCGTGTGAAAATTATAGTATTACTGCTTATACTGTAGTATTGCTACTAATACTACAGTATTAAAAAACTATCGTATTACGTTTTCCTTTTGGACATTAACGTAAACACACTACGCAATTTTTGCATATAGTATGAAGAAGCCATGTTTTACCTTGATTGCGAAATTCAATTTTAAAGTGGTTGAAATACACTGTCTTTACACAGTTTGATATAGGTTTTGGGTACTTGTCGAAAACATAAACACCACGATGTGATAAGAATTGTCTGGATTATGCACACAACATCTTAGAGTCAAAGCTATAGCGAAAATAGCAGATAAAACTTGTAATTATTTGTTAAAGGGTAGTTCCCTAAAACTCAAAAACACGAGTTGTCAGGGAAAAACGGAAGGTATATTTGAAATCAGCGTACAATTCTGATTGTAAGTAGTTCTAAAAAAATTCCAGGGAAAAAACAAAAGTGCCATTTCTGTCATGCAGTGTTATCTGTATTCGCTGTCATTCAATTACATCATAAATTTTGTGAATAATATTTATATATTTTAAATGACAATATAAACTCTTTATTTTTAGAATTTTCTGTTTAATTTATAACTTCATTCAATAATTTCGATTTAAAATCTAAGTACACCTATCACTCGTTTTACACGAAAGATACGTTCCAGAAAAAACCGTATAACTCGAAAAATTCACTTTTATAAAAAAGAAACGTGCTAAACGAACATCACTATGAAAAGACAGTTTTGTAAGTTTTTATGATGAATGACTAATATATTCAATGAAAAATAAATATTAATATCAAACATATCTAATAAATTATAAGAAAATTAATTTAATTCAACAATAAAACAGATTCAAAAAAATCTATTCTATATTGCATTTTCTTTATATATAAAAATCAAAATTGATTATTACAGATATAACTTTTCTTTGACTCGATAGTTTATTTGTTCTCATCTTTCGCCATTGTCGAAGTATGATTTTTTTTATAAATTAAAGATTTTGTGAAAAATGATTCTGTTATTTGTTCACGTTGAATAAACGCTATAAATTATATATAAACACTAATTAAAAACAATGATGCTCTTTGTTTTGTTATTTCAAACAAACTAGCTTATACACACATAAAATTTAGTTTTGATCATAAAACGGAAAGTTTCCAACTTAATCTATAGATCTCCATCATAGACATAGACTACTAAAAATTTGTAACTGTAACATACATTATGTAAGTGTTCTATTTTGACTGTATAACAATGAAAATGTTATTGTAGCTATAAGCTATAAGTAGATAATTATAATTTAGTGTTTATAATTTCTTGTAAATAATTTCAAAAACCGTGTAAGGTCGAAAACGTGTAAAACGGGGGATAGGTGTAATATATATTTCACATATCAATTCTAAAACTTTCGTCAAAACTTTTCTAAGGCCTAACAAAGAAAGTTTATATGCCAGTTAATGATAGGGATGTCATAGGGTGGTGTAGTGGGTGAAAGTGAATGAGGCGGTTGATTTTTAATTGCAATATTTCTTTTCACTCACATCTTTGTAAATTCTATACTGGTCTATCGCCCAGACTGTTGGCACGTGCGTGCTGAGCAGTTGAGACAGTGAGACGTGCTTGTTGCAGGCGCGGGCGCATATAAGACGCGTCTTGCCCACTGCGGTGTCGCCGACAACGACGCACTTCACCAGCTCTTGGTGCGGCTGTTCGTTGTCCATCGTGCCATCATCCGGGGCACGAAATTTCTGAAAACAAATTTAATACGAATTAAATTATGGTCTGAGTGGGATATGACAAGCTTCAACGAAAAAAGGATGAGTAAGACCGGGTACGGTTTGGCCACTTTTTTTTAAAGCAATAATTTTCTTAATTTACCAGTTATCTGGATGAAAAGTAAATTAAATGATAATTTGAATATTTGTGTACGTGGAACTACTGAAATACTGTCCTTAAATACGGTTGATTTGTCATAAAATCAAATCATATAAAAAAGGACTAGTGCCACAACCGTCCACATTCGAGGGTCGATTATGACAGACATAAAAATAGGTTAAAAAACAATAGCCATAAACATCGTTAATAACAATACAGATGAAACACAACACAACTTAACAATTTTATGACAATTGTGCCGACAAGTGTAGAATGAGAAAAAGCTTTTTCGGCTTGTTATATTTGTACTAAAATTCGGTCCTCGCTTAAAGATGAAACAATTGATTGTTTATATTTTTTTAAAACATATTTTAATAAATAAAATATAAGTTATTAATTAAATTTGTTTTTTTCCTTAAATATATAATTCCATACGAGCCTATTATATGTAAAGTGTAACCTAGAAGTTCATATATAATTGTTTACTTGCACTTTTTTGTATCTATCTACTCCTATTCTCTATGTAATAAAAAAATTAATATGTACTCATTTTAGAACAATAATAATGTTAATATGTCAATATAATAACTGCGATAACTAAAAATATGACTAGTAAATTTTTCATTGATAATACCGGTATTAACACCGGGATCCCGGTATTACAAATTTAAAATATCGAATACGGTATTCAGATTTTAGTACGGTATTGGAGCCCTACCACAACCGTACTTAGCGCACACTTTTAAAAACAAATCGTCGTTATGACTGATTGTGAGTTAAATTATCTAAGCAAAACCTAATTGCTGGTAAATAACTGCTAATGTTCAACTTACAGAAAAATAGTAAACATAGTCACTGACTCGCAGTAATGGAAACTTGTTCGAACAGTCATAGTTCATCTTTCTCCTTTGGACCCTATCTCAAAATTAGTATAGTTTAGCTGTTATAAATGACAACTGTCACTACCGTACCCTGGCACAACCAGGGTACCCAGTTTCCCCTACTAGAGATTTCTGTAATGAGCACGCAATTTTGTATCGCTCTTATTAAATCGCTTAAATCAAAATATTTTCAATATTCATTTTCATACTACCACAAAGAATGAATTATTTTTATTCAGAGAAAATTAAATTTCAATATAAGTCTTGAATTCAAGCTTAAAATTTTATTTGTGATCAAAAACAAAGCAGTATTTTTTCAGTTCACCAATTAATTATTTAAAAATTAACAATATAATTAGGTCTATTTTCAACACATTTAATTTTCAGTTCTGTTTTAATTATTTAATATGCATTGGCATTAATACGCAGTGCAGTCACTACTGTGTAATTTATTTTAACGTAAACTTTAATTAATATATCTTAATAATTTTTAATTTTTTTAACTATTTGTATTAAATGGTAACAATCTGTGTTATTACAGATTTTGAACTTCCCGTAGGGTAAGTTATTGTAATGGGCCGAAAATCGGAATTGAAAATTTTTACATTTCTCGACGTTTTGAAGGTTTCTGAACATTTTGGCGTACCTCAGAAAAAATGGATGTGTGTATGCGTGTGTGTGTGTGTATGTATGTGTGGATACAAATTTCCAGTCACGTTTTAGGGCGCACGGATCAACCGATTTGAATGGTTCAAAAAACATTCGATTCCTATTGATAGGGAAAAGAGCTGATTAGTTTTTGGCAAAGGCAGGTCCAGCCGTTTCGGAGATACGGAGCAAAGAGTGCGGAAAATAGAAATCGAATTTTTGAGAAAACGGAGTATCCGATTTGAATGATCTAAAAAACATTCAATTAGTAATGATTGGGAGAAGTGTTTATTAGTTTTTGGTAAAGGCAGGCCCAGCCATTTCGAAGATACGGAGCTAAATATGTAAAAAATGGCAGTTTTTGAGAGAACTAAGCGTCCGATTTGAATGATTCAAAAAACTTTCTGCTTGTCTTAACAAAATAATTGATTTTGGAAAAAAATTTTTGTTCCATTTTTTTTTTTTGTAGTTTTTTGTTGAAACAAATAATTTCAACTTTGCAATTCAGTTTATATAATTCTTATAAATATTAGACAATGTTACAAAATTTATAATAATCTATTTGAAAGCATTCAGTATTCCTCGAACATTTCGTTACGGTACGGGAAGTTCCAGCAATTTGCCTTAAGGCACGATGCCACCCACCCCACTATTTTAGTTCAAATTTCGTGTACGCATGTATTCTTATTTTTTAAAGTTTAACAAATAGATCCAATTACTTGGTGAAAGGAAACAATGAAAACTTTTTGTGATATGAAGTTGTTAATCAGGATATGATCAAATACAGTATAACAAAAGCACTGAAAACAAAGGCAAATGTAAACTAATACGCAGGAGCAAATTTGACGAGCAATTTGAGCTATGATGACAAGCTTGCTTGCATTACCGAGAATTATAAATGGGTATTGTTCTCAGAATTGTTTTCATTCTCATAATACATGTACAATATGCAAAAGTTTATTCGAAAAAACACCTCTTAAATAAATATCCTGTCGAATTGATAAACTTTTTGCAGTGTCTAACAAATCAATAACAACGAATTGAATGCATATTTAACTTCCCGTAGGGTAAGTTATAGTAATCGCAAAAAAATCGAAAATGAAAATTTTTATATATCTTTACGTTTCAAAGGTTTCTGAACATTTTGGCATACCTTAGAAAAAATGGATGTATGTGTGTGTGTGTGTGTGTATGTATGTATGTGTGTGTATGTATGTGCGGATACAAATTTTCGTCGACGATTTCGGGAACACGGATCAACCGATTTGAATAATTCAAAAAACATTCGATTCGTATTGATAAGGAGACGTGCCGATTAGTTTTTGGCGAAGGCAGGTCTAGCCGTTCCGAAGATACGGGGCAAAAAGTGCCGAAAACGGTAACTCAGTTTTTAAGAGAACGGAGCGTCCGATTTGAATAATTCAAAAAACGTTTCACTTGTATTGACAAGATAAAGAATCGATAAAATTTTCATGAAGGTAGGTCTAGCGGTTTCGGAGATATGGAGGAAAAAGTAAAAAAATGAGCCATTTGGCGGTCAAAAATGATTATTAGACATATGCACATCAAATTATCAGATATTTTATAGAGATTTTAACAATAAGTATACATTTTGTTAACATTCCTATGGGTTCCGTACCAATGCTTATGCGTTAGACAGCGACGCGGCGCTTACGCGCTTTATATTTTGTCCCTATGTAGTTAAACCAGTACGATTGCTTTGAAAAAAAAGTTAAGATCTTCCACAATATGTCAAAAAAAAAAAAAAAAAAATTTTCAAAAAAAAAAAAATTAAAAAAAAAAATTTTTTTTAAAAAATTTTTTTTTTCAAAAAAAACTAATTTTTTGTCAAATTTATAGTTTCTCAAAAATCTTATTTTTTCAAAGTAATTTTTTTTCAAAAATGTTAATCGTTTTTAAAAAAAATAATAATTTTTGGTACGGGAAGTTCCAGCAATTTGCCATAAGGCACGATGCCCTAATTGCCTTAAGACAGAATTCCACGATTGACAAGATAAAGAATCGATAAAATTTTCATGAAGGTAGGTCTAGCGGTTTCGGAGATATGGAGGAAAAGGTAAAAAAATGAGCCATTTGGCGGTCAAAAATGATCATTAGACATATGCACATCAAATTATCAGATATTTTATAGAGATTTTAACAATAAGTATACATTTTGTTAACATTCCTATGGGTTCCGTACCAATGCTTATGCGTTAGACAGCGACGCGGCGCTTACGCGCTTTATATTTTGTCCCTATGCAGTTAAAGCAGTACGATTGCTTTGAAAAAAAAGTTCAGATCTTCCACAATATGTCAAAATAAAGAAAAATTTTTTTTTTCAAAAAAAAATTTTTTTTTTTTTTTTAATTTTTTTTTCAAAGAGAAGTAATTTTTTGTCCAATTTATAGTTTCTCAAAAATCTTATTTTTTCAAAGTAAATTTTTTTCAAAATAATAATTTTTGGTACGGGAAGTTCCAGCAATTTGCCTTAAGGCACGATGCCTTAATTGCCTTAAGACAGAATTCCACTTACAGCTAGTTAAATATTAATACAATGCCTTATATATACGAACAACCTTTTTAATCAGATCGGCGGATGTACGATGTACGGCGATGTAACAAGAAAGTAAATTTACAAGAATTATTAGAAATGCTTGATGCACATTGAGCAAACTACATAATTTATAGAGATTCAAAAAATACAACTTTTAAATAGTTAAAATTTAATGTTTATAATGTTATAAAACTAAACAACTACCTAAATAAGAACATTACCTTCTCATGTTCCAGATTCACTAAATTATAACTGCTTCATTTCTTCCCAATTTTTTACAAATTATTTGCGCAAATTTTTCATTTTAGTTTTGCTACTATTTTTGTTATTATGTTAACAGTTTGAGCTAATTCAAATGTAAATATGTACTTTGCTCGTGTTTCAAAGCATGCGATATTGTTTTGATTTACTGAATTTCTTAGATAATTGTTTGCAATAGTAATTAGTCAAACTCATTTAAATGCAAACTGATATCTACGGTATAAATAATACAATAGGTACAATTTGCGTGTCTAATAAAAAATGTAATATTTCTTCGTTTAATATAGAATTGCATCATGGGAATATTTATTGAATAAATATAATTCTCAATTTCTTGAATTGCAGAAACCATATCTTTTAAATTATAAATCGTTAGAGACGCTGGAATATTTGAATTATTAGTTAATCGATAACAAACATCAAAAGTAGGCTATTTGTTGACGCTTTTAAAATATTCATCCAAAATATACTATTGTTAATTCATTCTATTAGGTGTCGC